CAACAAAATTGCGGTGAGACTGTATTTGTGGATGACACTTGAGCGACGCTAAAGTGACCTTGAGTGTCCACCTAATAACTAGGACCAAATTAGGGTTATAAACCAGTTTGAGGAATTAGATTTTTGATTTGCAGTTGATGCCTAAGGTTAGGAATTAGATTTACCGGTTTTCATCACTAACTGACATCAACTATAATCCCAAAATTGTATTTAGCCGAATGGATGATTGAATTTCGCGCCAAGACCCGATATCTTATACCTGATTGGTACGTCCATAAATTTTAGTCTCGCCGAAATTGCCTTGGTAAAATAGTCACATTTCCGATCTTTTTTTCGTTTTCACAATGCATGCAATAAATATCGTTACACATAAAGAGAATTCCTTTACACTTCATTTCGCTCGTGGGGATCAAAATTTTTGCAACTTTAACCATCAGTTTTACACTTACTAGGGCTATTAAAATTAGTAAATTGATAGTAATAAATAAGTTATTGTCGAAAAAAGTATTAGTTATGTAAAATCTAGTAAACTACTTGCTTGATGTCCATCGTTCATTAATTTGTGATGAGTGAATTTCTGAGGAATGTATATGCTTCGTTTGGGATGCGCTTCTCCCACTCTAAATGCAAGTTGTTCCTTCAAGATTGGTTTGCGTCAACACCTGAAATAAGGATAGGGAGTTAAGTATTCGAACGCGTTGACAACTTTACTTACCTTGAAAGTCTGATCAGCCCTAATAGGTTGGTGTCTGACGAAATCTCTGCACGGGTTCAAAAAGCTCGTTTGGCTTTTGCCAACCTACGTCACCTATGGCGAAGGCGAAATATCCGTCTATAAATTAAGGGACGAGTATACTGCGCGGCAGTTCGTTCTGTTCTACTTTAAGGCTGAGAAATGTGGCCACTAAGAGAAGATACTCGTACGCTACTAGTATTTGGCCACAGATGCCTTAGAAATATTGCTGGCATCTGCTGGGATCATCGGGTAAGTAATAGTGAAGTTATTTATTTATTTGAGAGCGCCAATATATATACGCCACACAAAACAATGAGAATTCGAAGAGAAAAGAAAAAAAAGGTAAGGAGCGTAAAAAAAGAGAACAATAACGAAGAAATTGGTGTAAGGTAGTGTGATAGTAATGAGGGAACGGAAAGGCACAATCGGAAGAAATCTTTAGGTAAGGGAGACACAACCACTTTTTATGAAGAAAGTAAAAGAAGGTTACAGCACGATCGCCACTGCCTTCTATTCTGAGCCATATCTGATAACGTCTCTAGCCACTGTGTAGTACCATCTCTCGGACCCCAACCAGGGAGTCGTGAAGGACCAACAGAAGCCAGTCCTTTGCAGCTTTCTTTCATGCACTGACCACCTCTCCGCTTTCTCCAACCAGTCCCAGAGTCGGCAAATAATGCACGACGTGGAATTCTCTGGGACGACATTCATAAAACATGTCCAAGCCACCGAAGTCGGTGTTTCAAGATGGTGACACCAATTGAATTATCATCTCTGTGCCCGAACACACGATGCCGAACCTCTGCATTACTGACATGGTGTTGCCACTTGATGTCAGCAATCCTTCGGAGACAGCGACGATCAAACACAGAGAGTCGTCTAACGTCCTCAACTCGGAGAGACCAGGTTTCACAAGCATAGAGCAAAACTGCTCTCGCCGACGCGTTGTAGATCCGACCTTTTACAACCAGACTAACATCACGAAGGCGCCAAAGGTGGCCCAGATTGGCATAAGCTGCTCTGGCTTTCACTATACGTGCATTGATCTCATCACTCACACCCCCACCAGAACTTATGCAGCTACCCAGATACACGAACTTCTCGACTACTTCTATCTGCTCACCATCCAGGGTGAGTACAGAATTGGAATCCTGCCAGTCTTGTAGAAGTACTTTACACTTCGAAGGTGCAAAGTACATACCATACCTACGGACACTGATTACCAACTGATTAAGTGCGGATTGCATGCCTTGGGTATTATCGCACAGTAAGACAATACCGTCCGCATACTCAAGGTCGAGAAGTCTTTCTCCAGGCAACAGATCCACACCACCATTGCTTACATTCATCAGAGCTGTTTCCAGAATGTCATCGATGGCAAAGTTGAAGAGGAATGGTGAGTTCGGGCAACCCTGTCTAACCCCACTGCTCGAATGGAACAATGGAGAGAGGTGGTTGTATGTCTTCAGTCTGCCTGAGGTGTTTGCATATAAGGCCTTTAGGATGTTAATAAACTTCTCAGGCACACCCTTCTTCAATAGACGATCCCAGAGAACAGTCCTCTCCAACGAATCAAAGGCAGCCCCTTATGTCAAGAAACACTATGATTGTTGGCCTTTGATAAGTATGGCGGTGTTCTAACATTTGGCGGAGGGTGAAGCTATGATCAATACATCCTCGACCAGAACGAAAACCAGCCTGCTCCTCGCGAGTCAATGTTTCTCAGGTTTTGAACAACCTACGAAGTATGACGGAAGCCAATAGCTTGGACGCAATCGGAAGTAGACTTATCCCCCGATAGTTGTTACAGGAACGACGTGAACCCTTTTTAAAGATAGTGACAACTATCGACTCATTCCATGACGTTGGTACACTCTCTAGTTCCCAAACCTTTGTAAACAACGTCGTCAATTCCTTAGTCAAAAAGTCATCATCTTTAAAAAGAGCCGGAGGTAAGTCATCTGGGCCAGGTGATTTGTAACGCTTCAAGAGTTGGAGTTCCTTGCGGACTTACTCCTCGTTTGGTGGATCAGTCGTCACCGGCCATGGAGGGCAGGACAGTCTGACCGATGTTGCCGGAGCAGCAGGCCAGTTGAACTGCCCTTCGAAAAATTCTGCCCATCGTCCAAGACGTCGATGGATGTTAGTGATTGGCATCCCATCATCCTCGTAGATTGTTTCGCTCACACCAGACTTCTTGCTGCCAGTGGCTCGGATGAGTTGGAAGAGCTTCCGGTAGTTACCAGATGCAGCTGCTGCTTCCAGCTCATTAGCACGCTTCGACCACCAGGCTTCTCGGTCCTTACGCAAGCTTCGCCCAATTTCCTTACGTAACATCCTTCGTTTATGGTCAAACTCACGGTCACCCGGAGTAGACCGACGGGCTTCAATGAGTTGTAAGGAACCTGGAGAAACCCAGTGCTTAAAAGCGGGACGTTTTGCGAACCCACAACTGACTGTACCCGCCATTTTCATGGAGTCATGCAACTGCAACCAATGCTCATCTATACTTTTCGGTGGAATGGTAGCTAGCCTAGAAACTAGCTCGTTTCGATACTTACTAGCAACAGAAGTTGCAACCAGCTTGCTAATATCAATCCGTTGGTGGCGGTCACTTCGTTGTCCACTGAAAAGTAAGGTAAGATTGGCGCAGACCAAGGCATGGTCAGAGTCCAGATAGGTACTCCAAAAGGAGCGGCAGTCTTGTACACAACCACGCCAGCGGTAGCTGATCGCGATGTGATCAATCTGAGTCCAGGCTTGGGATGCAGAGGGAGGACGCCAGGTGGCACATCGGCGATGACTGTGCCGAAAGTTAGTGCTAGCCAAAAACAGGTTGTGGTCTGTGCAAAGTTGCAGTAGATGGTCCCCGTTATCTGACCTGCGACCAACAAGTCCCCATCGGCCACCTAAACGACTCTCTTCTGTGCCTAGACGCCCGACCTGAGCATTCAAGTCTCCGGCTAGTACTACAATATCTGTCGAACACACTTTCTGGAAAAGAACAGATAACTGGTGGTAAAACTCATCCTTGATTGCATCCGGGGTGCAATCTGTCGGGGCATAGGCGGAGATGACGAAAAGACATCGTTTCTCACACCGATTTCTTCTCACTTTGATGGAACTTTCTAATCTAACATCACATAACCGACTGTTAATGGGGATTCAGTCGATTAGTGCTGCCTCAGATCTAGCGCTTAGTGAGACACCAACGCCAGCAAGACCAGACGAAGATGCCACAGGGTCCCCGGATAAGCGCACGTAGAACAAGCTTTTTAAAGTGACAGATGGAGAGCGAATTTGTAGTACTTCACCAGAGTCTTGAATACGGGTCTCGGATAGACAGCAGACATCAATATTAAGACTTTCCAAAGACATAGCCAGCCCTATCTGTTGTCCAACCTGCATAAGTGTGCGAACGTTGAAGGCAGCCAGTTTGAATAGCGCACGTGGCATTTTGGTGATGGTAGATGTATATATAATTCTTTTGATATTCAGTCATTTATTACTACGTTCGTGGTTATGCTAATAGGTTAATAAATCTTTTTTAAGTTTTATGATTCATACATATAAAACGTTTATAATTCAGTTAACCCACTATTGATTGGGGGAATCTTATCTTCGTTAGATTGGTTTGGTGTACATAATGAAACTGAATAAAGTTTTGCTACATACACCAAGTAGTGCAGAATTTATTTCACTGAATACTAATGAGCTTTGTTTCGTTTTGTATCATAGTAGAGTTTCCATCACATTGACAGTTTAGTAATTATGTCTTAAACCACAACTAGAAGTTTCTTACTCGTTGTTTCGCTTCATAATAACACATTCAGTATCTACATAGATTTTAGAAGGTAGATATGTATGCTTTTAGCTCCATGCTTTTGACATGGGATTGGTGATACTCGTCACGCACAAAGCTTAGTATTGACTTGGACCGGTTTAGCTTAATAGGATTCGATCACTAAAAACCTTTATGTTCATTATTAACAAGTAGGTTTGTTTCAGATGTGTTTGTTGTACAGTGTGGGACTAAGGGCAGATTTACCGATCACAAATATTTGGTGGTATGGGATTTCGGCCCGAATTTCGAGGAAAACTGGTCCCTTGGATTATCTGTAGGTTTAAGTGTTGTAATTGAAATTTATGTATTAGAGCATTAATAACTAAACTTAAAGACTCATAAAGTATGTGTTATTATTTCTTTATCATTGTGCAATACTTTATTTCTAATTACAGATATCTCACTAGTGTAGTGATTTCAATGGAGTCGGTTAAAGAGATAGGACCATCAAGTTTTCAACACTTCCTTTCTCAGAGTATTGCCAGTTGGGATCCAGAACATCGAGCAAACGAAGTTCCGGCTAGTAGTGACTGTCTTCTCCGGATAACTAAAGACTTACGTTCCATTTGCAAGTAATTTGTATGAATAAGTATTCTCACTTCAGACAGCGATCCAGCCCCTGGAATATGTGTGGTACCTGACAATGAAGATATGACAAAGATATACGCATTGATCACAGGTCCCTTCGATACACCATATGAAGGTGGCTTTTTCTTGTTTCTTATACGATGTCCCCCCGAATACCCACTCATGCCGCCAAAGGTGAAATTGATGACTACTGGGAATGGTACTGTCAGGTTTAATCCAAATTTTTATTCCAACGGAAAGGTAAGACTGATGTGAATAAATTAGTGTCAATTCGGCATTACCTTGTGTAAAGAATTCTGTTTAATTGCGTAAATTTTCACACTTCCTTAAAATCAGATTACTTCGAAATCAGTCTCCAATCCAAGATGTCTTCAAAATCTAGCTTCTGTTATGTATGTTCTAGTCCAAAAATAAGCTCCAGGGTATCCCATTACTGATTGTATGCTTAGAACCTAAATAATAACCTAGATGAGAGCTAAGTAGATGGCATATTTTGCAAAATATTTTACATAGTATTGATAGTGTCCAGTGATCTTTGTATTTACTGCACATTCTTTAAATTCATATATTTGTGAGACCATTGGTGTTGTTAATTCCTAATAAACTATTTATGGGAAAACAAAATATACTTAAATCCATCGTATATCGGAATTAGTATGTTCTAAAATAATAACAATAAAGATCTTAGCCAGTCATAACATTTAGATTTGGTATTAGGTCTAGCTGTTTTAGAGGGAATGTACTACGTTTTTAACCCGTTGTATCTTTGTTTGTAGAGCTATCCGTGTTCATTGATTCTTCATCGAGTCAGTCATAGTTGTTGGATATACAGATATGACATTCTTTTTAAGAATTTCAAGATCGATTAATATACAATAATATGAAAAACTTTATCAATTGAGTTTAGTGGGACCAGTATGAAAGTCATGGACCTAGATATATGCGCCTAACAACTGCAACTAATTGAAATATAAAATAGAAATTGAAATGACAAATCCAGATAGACCAAAACGTACTACAATTTTCGAAGTAAAATAGTCAACTTTTTTCTTTTTAAGGATAAAATAAAGCCAGTAGGACACACTTAAAATCAATCTATTTAAAAAATTAAATGAATTGATAACTGAAAAAAGCACACCATTCCAAATAGCCTTCGAGAAATATTTTCGCTTATTCTGTATTCAAAGCAATTAGTCCCTTTTATAAATTTCGATAGAACAATGAGAAGACGGAGTTAATCTGAAAAATGTGATGTATTAACGCTATACATTTCGAACAATCTGGTCACACATATACTTGTCAGGGCATTTTTATATGAAAATTAATAAAGGTCAAACAAATAAAAGTACAATTAAAATAAGAAATTGTCGCGTTATCCTAGGCCATAGAATGACTTAAGGATTACCAAGGTGAACTCAAGGTTACGACAAATTGTTTTTGTACACATAAGGGGGTTTAAATTTACGAACAACCAAGGCTTCAATAAACTTAAGAATCCGAACTTGACAATTTCTATACAACATTCTAAATGCTGTATTAATGTTAATTTTGTGCCTCGTCTCAATTATGTTTTGCTATCGATGAGCTTGGTTTTCTACATCCTACATTGATCGGATCATTTGACATACATTGATTTTGAAGCCATCTAGGCACATGTTCATTGACCCTTGATTGCACTGTTCGATTACTTCTCCCTATGTATGTGTGTCCACACAAACATGTAAATTGGTGAATACAATGGGATGTGACGTAATCATTAGTGCATTGTTTGGGTCTATTAGGAATCATGGCCTTAGACTTTTCAATCACTATTAACTGGGCAGCAAAATACGTATTCTCGATGGCTGCTTTCAATCTCTGCCTTAAGACTATACTGTTAGATTCGCCTCTATATGGTAGATTGATATAAACTTTTTTCTTTGGCACTGAATAAATTAGAGGTCTTGGCATTAACTGACTTTTGCACCTATTAATAAACTTGAGTGGATAACCATTTGCTATTAATGTGTCAGTCAGTAACTTTTCATCTTTTTCCATCATGTCAGAGGTACATATTCTTCGAGTCCTCTTAAAGAGGCACTTAACCAGACCTATCTTGTATTGCAATGGACAGAAACTATGGAAATTTAAGTATTGTCCCGTCCAAGTTGGTTTCCTATACACTGACCGTCTAATAGTGCCATCGTCCCTTCGACTTAAAAGTATGTCTAGAAAGGCTAATTGGCCATTACTTTCTGATTCATGTGTCATCACAATATCGTTTTGAACACCATTGAGTTTATCCAATAATCGGTAAACATCAAAATCTTTATCACATATAGTCAGGATATCGTCCATATATCTTCTATATAGAGTTGTCTCACTAATAAGGTCGCTCGTCATATTTTCCACATATGACATGAATACCTCAGCTAAGAGAGGCCCCAAAGGGCTACCCATAGCTACACTATCAACATGTCGAAAATATTCACCATCAAACGTAAATTGAACATTAGCTGTACATAATAAAAGTAATTCTTTCAAAAATAGTAACGGAATAGGAAAAAGGGGAAAGTTTTTAGAAATATAGTCACAAAGGAAATCCACCGTCTTTGTTAAAGGTACATTCGTGAAGAGAGAGTTTACATCAAAAGAATGCAAAGATTTTTCTTTAATATTAATGTCACCAAGAAGGTCAATTAGTTCAAATGTATCATAAACCTAATATTTCATTACGACCAATTTTGTCTATGCGTGGTTCTCCCACACACGAGCTAGCTAAATGGTTAGTAAAATTGTTAAACCCAATTCGTACTAATCTTTGTAAGTTCTCTTTAAAAGTTACAATTTTGAAAGAATTACTTTTATTGTGTACAGCTAATGTTCAATTTACGTTTGATGGTGAATATTTTCGACATGTTGATAGTGTAGCTATGGGTAGCCCTTTGGGGCCTCTCTTAGCTGAGGTATTCATGTCATATGTGGAAAATATGACGAGCGACCTTATTAGTGAGACAACTCTATATAGAAGATATATGGACGATATCCTGACTATATGTGATAAAGATTTTGATGTTTACCGATTATTGGATAAACTCAATGGTGTTCAAAACGATATTGTGATGACACATGAATCAGAAAGTAATGGCCAATTAGCCTTTCTAGACATACTTTTAAGTCGAAGGGACGATGGCACTATTAGACGGTCAGTGTATAGGAAACCAACTTGGACGGGACAATACTTAAATTTCCATAGTTTCTGTCCATTGCAATACAAGATAGGTCTGGTTAAGTGCCTCTTTAAGAGGACTCGAAGAATATGTACCTCTGACATGATGGAAAAAGATGAAAAGTTACTGACTGACACATTAATAGCAAATGGTTATCCACTCAAGTTTATTAATAGGTGCAAAAGTCAGTTAATGCCAAGACCTCTAATTTATTCAGTGCCAAAGAAAAAAGTTTATATCAATCTACCATATAGAGGCGAATCTAACAGTATAGTCTTAAGGCAGAGATTGAAAGCAGCCATCGAGAATACGTATTTTGCTGCCCAGTTAATAGTGATTGAAAAGTCTAAGGCCATGATTCCTAATAGACCCAAACAATGCACTAATGATTACGTCACATCCCATTGTATTCACCAATTTACATGTTTGTGTGGACACACATACATAGGGAGAAGTAATCGAACAGTGCAATCAAGGGTCAATGAACATGTGCCTAGATGGCTTCAAAATCAATGTATGTCAAATGATCCGATCAATGTAGGATGTAGAAAACCAAGCTCATCGATAGCAAAACATAATTGAGACGAGGCACAAAATTAACATTAATACAGCATTTAGAATGTTGTATAGAAATTGTCAAGTTCGGATTCTTAAGTTTATTGAAGCCTTGGTTGTTCGTAAATTTAAACCCCCTTATGTGTACAAAAACAATTTGTCGTAACCTTGAGTTCACCTTGGTAATCCTTAAGTCATTCTATGGCCTAGGATAACGCGACAATTTCTTATTTTAATTGTACTTTTATTTGTTTGACCTTTATTAATTTTCATATAAAAATGCCCTGACAAGTATATGTGTGACCAGATTGTTCGAAATGTATAGCGTTAATACATCACATTTTTCAGATTAACTCCGTCTTCTCATTGTTCTATCGATATTTTGTATTCATACAAAAAGTGATGGTCCAAATATTCTGGGAAGTCCCGTACCCAAATTGATTTCTTAAAAAACACTCCGAAATTTTTGTAAATAATGTGAGGTAAATTTACGAATTTATTTATTTTAGCACATAGATATTGGAACAATGAGGCACCAAATACATATGCGCCACACAAATCTGACTCGATATGTATGAGGGCTGTGATACTGCCCGGGTGCCCAAAACGAAGTAGGTGGTTTTCTTAGGGGGCTACACTCCGAGCCTGCGACCTGAAGTTCTGGTCCACAAAGCAGTGGAGCATCGTAAGGAAATGCAGTCCCATGGAAGCCGGTGACCAAAAGTTGGTTCATATGTCATTTGTTCCGGCAGGATACTGGAGCCCATGTGCACCATTGGTTTGGAATCCGGTTAAAGCGCCGGATATTCGCTTTTCGTCCTCTCATTTTCGTAAACAACACCCCCGCCACGAGAAGGCAGTGAGTAGGACTTCCCTGGGAGAGGCTATATACGCGTGGCCATGTGAGAGCATTTCGAGAGAGAGAGCGGACTCTCCCCACTCTCGACCGTACCAGGGCATTTGAGATTCTATTTCTACCACATACTTATGTGAAGCTATGATAACGTCTTGAGTCCACTATCAGTATTCCATGATAGGTGAAATACTAGTTGAAAAGCACTTCAATGCCTTTGATAATAAAATGTTCTGGCCATATTGTCTATTGCAATTGTTTTATTTGATATCAGTAACACAATAGTTAGCGCAAATAAAAATTTTTCAGTCGTTTACTTGGATAAAAATGGCAAACTTCGATGTATTTAAAGGCGTATTTTTACGACCTTAAATTGGAGGAATCCCAACTTCTTGATTTCAGCCTTATATTTCATAGTTTTATATCATTTTGATATTCATATCATATTCACATGGTTACGTTTCTGTTGCAACAGTATTACACCTACTATAATTTAGTTTGATGTATATCATAGACTTGTTATTTTCACCTACCTAAACTAGAAACTAGCACAAATCCCACCAGAAAACTACTTACAGGTTTACGTAAATAATTCTGAACCATTTATAAATTTTATGATAACACCAAACTCCCTGGGACTTTGTGCATGTGAGGTGGTTCGAGGGCACAGATCGTTATTCGTAGTGCAGATGCCTAGCCAGATAACAGACTCATACATCTGAACCATAAGGTTCGTTAAATATTCAGTAAGAATCCGAACTGCACAACTCAAAAAATGTACAGGGTTCGAGTTTCTGAATGCCTTTCAGTTTTACTAATAGAAAAATAGCGATATCACTAGTTCTAAATCAATTATTGTTGTTCATGGGACAGTAAATGATACAGTAAAAGACATGCATTCAAAAAATTTCCCTTTTCATAATCTATTAGAATATTTACCAATAAAGAGATTTCCGGTTAGATTTTATAAGACTGTCGTACTTTTCATTGAATTTTACCTACCACACTCCCCATAGGTTTGTCTAAGTGTTCTCGGTACTTGGCAAGGTCCCGAATGGACACCAGCACAAAGCCTATCTTCAGTTTTAATATCAATTCAATCTTTGATGAACGATAAACCGTATTTTAATGAGCCTGGATTCACCACTGAACGTAGCCCGGGCGATGCTCAACAATACAATGCAATAATTACACATGAAACTATTCGATGTGCAGTTTGTGATGTATTAGAGCGTCGTACAGCATTTCCTTCGGATTTGTACGCGGTAGTGGAATCTAGTTTTGAGGATTATTACGAATATTATATTAGCGTTTGCGAACGAAATATGCATCTATCAGGTCAACCTATGGTTGATCCTTTCGAAGATGGGCGAGGGATTTTTGATTATGCTAGTCTATTAAAGCGTTTAAAGGCTTTGAACAGTCAATTAAAACAAAGATATTCTGGAACAGATAACGTCAATGCGATGGGCATGTCAGAAGAAAACAAATGACAACCTATACAGTCCTAACAATGAATTCTGGACTACAATTGACTCCTAATTCGGAAGAATATGTGGGGTGTTTTGTTGTATATCACCAAGTTTATATTAAATCTAGTTAACTTTATTTCTGTCACATTTTCTTTCCAAGTGTCTTGTTTTTGATCAAGTAAGCAATTCTCTTGATCTATCCATTTTAACTTGATTGTTTTCCATTCCCCTTTACAATTTTATTTTCTCATTTTGTTATTACTGACGAAGTGCGAAATGATGTTGAACATGTATAAAATGTTCTAGAAATGGAGGATAAGTAATGCTACGCTTTAGTTTGATTGATTTCATTTATTGGGGTGTTATAGTTTCTCTTATTACGACCCAGCTACCCTTATCGCTTAGTAATCTTGGACACTACTTCACTCGACAAGTACCCAAACCAGAACACGGTTGAACAGAAACGTAGTTATATCTCAAATAACAAGGGTGGATGGAAGTAGGAATCAAAATAAGAAAAGCATTAGCATATTTACGCAAGATTCTAGAATCCTCTCCAAGCATCCGCTAGCACTGATTGGTTAGGAAACAGCCAATCAGCATGCCTTAACACAGTCCCACATGGGACATGCTTTAATCCAATCTATATCCCACTAACATGAGGGAACTTGTGAGTTTTTGTCGATTTTTCAGGTGCAGAATTATGTTGGGAGTCACCAAAAATGTGCTACCGCCGGTTAAGCGTAAACTGTTATTTTTTAAACATGGATCCATAGGTAGGTATCATTACCAGGGTTTGACTTGATAATTTCGAATAGATTGAGCATTGGGTAGATTGTTATAAATAAATTCTATGAAGAATTGACTTACACTGAGTCACTCATTGGGATATTACAAATATATTAATTTATGTAAAGAACCATAGGGTTGATGTGCGCTATTGAGTTCCAAAGATATTTAGGAAAAACTGAAAATCAGTTGATGGTAGATCTGTCAAGTCAATTCCTATGTAACAATAATTGAATTGTAACTAGCACCTAAATAAGCGTCTAATAAAAGACAAAAAATATTAACGCTCGCCTCGAAGTTTGCAAAAAATAATTTATTTCATTTGAGTTAACTTATGATTCACCATTTTAATGCACTTGGGTTGATTATTTCAATCTTAGGAACAGTTTTGTATGTAGTGTGTAGGTATTTAAGGTTAGGGTCTTTGGATTTGATATATTCGTACAAATTCTTCACCAAAGCGTTCGACATTGGTTTAGAAACTGGGAGACTTGCGTACAGTTCGCTTGTTTGTGTTATAATTTCTTTTACTTGTCCACCACCATTAAGGCAACCTGTAAAACAGTACAAACGATCAATAACAAATACAATCAACAAATAACTAGAATTAATCATAAAATATGGCAGTGTCAGGTTACCGGCTTAAATTTTGTCCAAACTATTTCGGTTTGTTCAACTCGTTAGTATTACTGGCTCTCACACAAAAATTAAGTTTCAATACTGAGATCACGCGGTCATTAGGCTACAGTTAATTAGTCCTATGAGAATACCAAGTTACTTTCTTGTAAATTACACTTAGTCAGAAAAAAACAGATCAAGCTCCAGTGACATCACATGATCACGGTGACTAAATACTATTAGTTAAAGTTTATAACACAACAACTGGGTTGGGTTAATTTTGGAGTAAATAGAAACAATATCATTCAAGTGCAATTAACATCTCACAAGAGCACGATAAGCTGAAATTAACGAGATTATCAGAGAAGAAAAATTGGTGAAGATTAAACAGTGGAGAATACTGTCTAAAAAGAATGAATTCGAGGAACACTTACTGAGGCTCAATACGTAGGGGAAGAAGAGTGAATCCACTGGCTTATTTTGCCTAACGTTTTCAACCACTGGTCACGCGGATTCAAAATATAATTTGCACCAGCAACACGCCTCACCTCCAGCAGTCAACTACTTCACGGACTCGTGCCATACGGCGTGTGGCATGCCGTCACACTCCAACCAACATCGCGTTTTGTGATATACAACACAGTATACATCATGAAGTTTGGTCTACACTCCCCTTGATTGGAGGTGAAATAGCACAACTTGGCAGTTCAAAATCCCTTCCTTATGTAGTTACATTGTGCCGTCTTTCTACTAGCCAGTTAGGTTCTGAACAGCCACTTCTAGGCTTTTGTAGTTGCTGTTGACTATCAAATGACTAATAAGGAATTTTCAATATCCAGTTATACCGTACTTAAGACGCGTTGGATTTACATGAACAAGCTTCCTGTTTCATAGAGTGGGATACATAGTGTATATATGTAAGAAGAGCTACTACAGTGCCTGTTTATTTCAACGTGAACTGCGCTAAAACTTAACTCAGCTAGGACTGGTTCATTTGTTAATCTCAGAAAAATATAATATTACCAAATACCCAACAGTTAACAGATGATCTTGTATCCAGTCGTACCGGATTTAACAGACAACTTAAGGGCGTACATATATTTCGGCAATTCATATATGATCGGACAGTCTCCTTTAAACACTAAATTCAATACAGGTAATCTACGAAAACATTTGACTAACCACTTGGACATGCCATCACTTCTACATAATCAAACGGATAGTGGGCTTTTATCTGTTTAAACTTTATTTGATCTGGGTTATCACATTTTCTAAATTCATAAGTTTTTCGCAGATATTGAACAATAGTTTGGATATTGCGAAACCCATTAGCTATCCCAAATACTAACAGTGCTTTTGGTTGAATTTCCAAGTGACGGTAAGGTGTTCGATTTGAAAGAGATGATAGCAGAGACTCCGCCAGACTACGATCTTCTTTTGAATTAAATAAGATTAATTCCTTGAAAATAAAACAAAGAGGATAACGTGATGTGAATATTTAGTCAACAACAGACAAAACGATCGTTGATTATTCACCTTATTTTGAATATGGCATGCAGTTAACCATAAATACGTAGTTTTGCATTAAAGATTAAAGTCTTAGTATCGTCTACAGCATTAAAATTAAATATCGAGATATTGGACTGAGTAACACAACAGATGATTTATGTCAAAAGTATTTCTTTGAAAATTCTATCGAATACAATTTAAACCAATGCAGGTGAACTAAGGAAGGGTAACATGATGATTTATTATAAAAATAGGATCAATGGTAATGTATTTTTGAAATTAGTTGGTGTGTTTTGGAGGAAATAGAAATATATTCCATGTAAAACGAAAGACTACAAACCAACCTGAATATCTCGATTTTGTAAATGGCGAATTATCACACGTTCATCCTCTAATATATCAGACTTTAATTTTACCGAGAATAGTTCTTCTGCTGCCATCTTAAGAATACATGCTGCGTATCCCCCTGAACCACTCCCATTGTGTCTATACATCGGAAGCATTTCGTTGACTAGCAAAGGAAAATGATCGGATCCAACACCTGTTTTTCCGTGCGATATTTTTACGCAGAATATTTCATATAATCTAGAAAACAAAGAAAGTATTTGACACTTGGTTTCTTGTTTCCATAGATTAAAGAACACTGTAAACTAACTAGTGTGATTAGTATTAATTTCCTTTAGTTTAAGACTAGAATTATCAATAAAAGTTACCGTTCTCTAAATTTGTGGATGCATTTTGATTTAAATAAAGCGAGCACATCATCATCTACAGAATGTGAATTCGTTATGTCGTAGAAATCTTTTTAGCTACATAAGTTTGATTATTTCGAATAGAACAAGCAGTGTATATGAAATAAAAATGTATTTAAGAATTATACTTGAAGTGATAGTTCTATAGTACTCAGGTCGATTTCATTAATTAACACAACAAAAAGCCCAACAGGTTCAGAAGGGAAAAATATGTGAGTTACATTTCCTAATATTATTATAATTCATCGAAAAATAAAATGCTAGGATCAACTATAGTTTCGGGAACATCGCCTAGTTTTTAACAACTGATTTAATATTTTTAAGGTTGGTTTTACACAAATTAAAGGACATGGTTGCAATTTCACATATCCAAGGTTAAGTATGGCTCAAGTTTAATGAAAATAGACAAGATACCTAATAGTAGCAGTCATAGACACACATTTCAAAAAAAAAATATCCATACCTCTCTAATATTAACCGCTGACTTTCTCCAACCTCAGATGTGTGTTCAGGAAAAGAAAACGAGACGATACCACTGGATTCGTCAATTAATGATTCAAGGAAGCAAAGCAGTTCATTGGTAGCCAAGACCAAATCAACATCTGGGACATAAAAGTCAGAAATACTTTTTGAAGGTACCGAAAACTCCTCTCTAGATGCTTCTAACTTCTTATCAAAACAAGGCATAATACTGACATGAAAACATTTTTCTTCACCTAAAAGTTTAATTACCCTGCCTGCAATTTGCTGCGGAGAACGAACATTTGATATATGAGAGATAATTGAGAATTCACTGTGCTCAGAGCTTGAAGGGTTGGATGAAGTAAGGGGACTCTTTTCAGCATAACATATCCAACCTTTAAAACAGTAAAGAAACAGAACGTTAAACAGCTTTTACACTTGGGTTCTCAATACCAAAAATTTTCTGGCTTAAACATTGTGATTTTCGTACATTACCGCATAGAAATCACAGATCTAGGTTTTATTAGTAGTATCATGTTCACATTGATCAACAATTGCATATAACACTTGCATTAGTAGCGACTAACAATATTAACCACATAAATATAGGAAAATCCCGCATGTTACATTAATTACTTCATTTTCAGGTATTAGTTTGATCTCTTCCCCCTTAAGCAGTTCGAACTACTACTACTTGCTTGAGACATGAAAATGGTAAAATTAAAATAAAAAATGTACCAGACAGTTAGTTAGCAATGCACGACCTGGATGAAGTTTCCATCGGTTCCTGCAGCCACATCATACTCCGATCGCATTCCGAACTAAGTCTAGAAAGCACAAATATTCAATCATCAGTGTATTCGAATTGTTGGTTTGTAGTGGAAGTACTAAATGACTGATATCAATCATATTTAGAATTGTATGCAACGACCGTGACCTACTGAGCAGATCCAGATACCTGGTAAAGAATAAGCAGAAAAAGCCTTAAGATAAACAGAACAAATTATCTATTCGTTAGAGTTGTGTGCAGAAATGCGAGCTACTAGGTGATTATTTAAAGTGATTATGGTTGATATGATTCAGTAACCATTTCAGCCACTCACTGACTGTTTTAACTTACTATTTCGATGTATAGCATCTCGGACTGGCTCAGTATCTGCGTTAGTTAGTCTGTTTGTTTTAAATGTCTTCACTAAAATGAATTCATTCTAAACCAGTCAGACCAGAACTTCTAATTCGAAGTCATACTATAGAACAGTAAGAAATTAAATGGTGATACAGCAACCTAGATATAAGGCTGTGAATAAGAAAGTACTATCTGAAAGGAACCTCAAAGCCAGCGGAGGGGAGATCAACGTACAACTAGATTAAAGTGCGTTAAGAATAAGTTCTCACGAGAACAGATTATGGATGTAACATTTGCTTTTCCCAATAAGCTTCTAATAAGCAAACGAAACACAAGAGAATAAAGCTGACACCAGTGGGAGATACGATTCTTGTGGAACTAAATAGGTACGTAAATCCATAAACTAAAAAGCAATAACGGATGATCTTGCTTTTTTTCACAGTACCAATGTCAGAAAAATGTAACTCTCATCTCTTCAGTTTCGTAAGGTTATGTGGTGTGCAAGAGGATAAATTTTAAAAAAAGATTGTGAGTGTTATCTGTAGGGATAAGAATAAAATATACAATATGCACCGAATGCAATTGAAATTAAAGTTAGGAAGTGTGCTAGTTATTAGTGGGAAATACCAATATTACCTGGGCAAATACTGGAGAACAAGGGTAAATGATCTGCGCATTTATCACCGCGTTTTGTGAAGTGCTCTATGAATTCTGATCCCGCTTCATAGAGACATATGTCACGAGCCCAAGTAACATCGGTAACCAAATGAATCCCGATAGAAAAGAGACACGAGGCAATAAAAGTCCTGAAAGTGTTCATATCCGACTTCGATAGGGAATTACTGACTTGAAAACAGTGGAATGCTCTAGCCAATTTACTTTCAGGAAGGGCTGTTACATGGCTCAGTAAATTGGCAATGGTTTGTGGGGACAACGAGACAACGATTATGCTCCGATCGTTTATCTGTAAATCTTAAGAATATTGAGAACCATACCTTTTTAGACCTATTTTGTAATAAAATATCAGAAAATACGGTAGAGCTGTGTTCGGATATAAGAATGGTCTCTGCAGAAGTTATACAGCCACTACAAGCCAAACAGTCATTGAGACTGATGGATGCTTTTTGTAAGGAATATTTACTCCCATCCTGTTAGATCATATTGACCAGAAACACAAAATACCTCAGTTATAGCCGTGTAAGAACCATCTTCTTCAACTTTAACAGATCTGGTCTTTCCAACAGATTTATCGATTTTTACCGGTTTAATACACGCCTAAAATATTCAATTTATTGAGAAACAAATCTGACCTGTGTGGGAGCGATGTAATCATCTATCGTATTTATTTGAATAACAGACGAGAATTTGTTATCGGATGATTTTGCGGACATTATGAGAAGTAATAACGTGTATTAATGACCAAATTTACAACCATGAAACTACAAAAAATAATTTTACCAAAGATATGAGTTCGTTGATGCGAAAAATTAAAGGCATGATTGATAGTAGCAAATGAAAAAAGGCAATTAGTAGGTAGAAATACAATAAGTAAACGGAGTATATTTTTTGCAATCATTATTTATCTTCCTCTTAGAACTTTTTCTAAGGAATTTTCATTACTACAAATAGCAAAGTGAGTTGAAGAGTGCCTCTACTCAAGATCTTAGTTATCAATATTAGCAGACGTTTTTATTATGCATCCAACATGACATGAAAATCTATTTGTATATCCGTATTCACATACTGTTAAATTCGCAACAGACATCTCTGAGAAACTACTACTAGTGCTTACAGTTTTAAAAAAAGGTAAAGTGGATGAACTTGGTAGAAAATAGTCAGTGACTTAGTATACTCAAATTTAAAGAGCCTCTTAAGTAATTAACTTGTACGAAAATTTTACTGAATGACACACTTTTATAAATTACATCAGTATATACATAGGTCCTACCATGCCAGGCAGGCCGATTGAAGAGCGGTAAGCTTAAAAGCGACAAACTCACAGTCTGAGGGCAAAGTCGTACTGCAGACTGTACAGAGGTGTGACAGCAGTAGGGTGTTTCCTTCAGACAACCAACATAACGGCGATACTGCCTTCCCACAAGGAAGGGTGGAGTTAAAAAACGTCGACCCTAAAAATACACACTTCACCTTATCCCAAGGATATCCGTCTCCGGTGGTACGGTCCCAAAAAGTACGGAGCTAACACGAATATTACTCACAAGAGGTCGTGCGTCACTAACCTCAAGCAGTTGTCCCTTGGGCACTGAGATTACGCTCTCAAGCTACTAGGACTAACTCTAACCTAATTTCCTTCCCAGGTACCTCTAGAATAACCCCTTCACGGTGTGGGCAATCGGGAATTAATGGCCACCCTCATACCTCTAACAGAACTCAAAACCACTGTATTCATAACCGATTTCCCTCTTCAATTCCTATTATTTCCCCCACCTCGACTATCCACTCTAAACTTACTCCTTCGACTTCTGCCTCAAGTACCACTATGGCCAACTATTCTAATGCGCGAAATATTGTTCCAGGTCTACTAAAACCTCGCTCCAAACTACACATTGGAGCCTTCAACGTACAGACCCCGTGTCAAATCGGCCGGCAGTTCTCCTTGGCTAAGACCGTTTGATCTCGTACGACTGATGTGCTGTGTTGCGGAAACACATACAGGATCCTAGTGTGGTCGTTTACTTCACCTCATGTCGCAAAAACGGGGAGGCGGCGAGATACAGCTTCTGTTTATCTGGCGACATAACGGCGAGTTCTCGTGGACTGGCCAGTGTAGGGATAGCACTGGATATGAGGGCAAAACAAGCACTTTTAGAATAGATCCCTGTTAACAGTCGCCTATGTGCTGTTTGGCTAAACGTCTCTGTAAGAACTCAGAAGAATAGGGATACATACCGTTGCCTTTTCAGCATTTCTACCTACGCTTCCATTAACTCCACCCCGGATGAATTGAAAGATGGATTTTACAGAAAACTTTCTGAACATTTTCAAAAAGCTAAACACTCAGACATAGCACCCGTAGCAGGTAACTTCAGTGCCCAGGTAAGTAGATTAAACCAAATAGAAAGACATTTAGGTGGATATTTTGGTATTCCAGCTTAGCGAACAGATAATTGTGACCGCCTGCTGCAAGTATGCTCAGACAATCGTTCATTTCTAACAAGCATTAATCTCGAGCATAAACAGAGACATCGTCTAACACAGAGACCTCCTGCACCAGACCAACGATGTACTCAAATAGATCATATTACCATCAGTCACCGTTGAAGAGGCTCGATAGAAGACTGTCGCTTGTTCTGGAAAACCTGGTTGGACTCCGATTATGCTCAAATAAGAGCACATATTTCCTTGCGCCACTCTGAATGCAGTAAAGCTGTTGTGACTTCATGGCCCGCTAGTTTTCACGTAATCTATTCACCAGTCAAAATACTATGAAAAACGTTCGTCTACTCATTTCTAGGTATTAGTGGTTATCTCACTTGGGCTGATTCGTGATATCAAAGACATTTAACAATCTCTAAAGACCTATGCTGACAGTTATTAATAACATTATACATGGACTTTATCGAAAGCAGTTTGAAAATATCAGTAGTTAAAAATAAAATGAGTTAATCAAGTATGATTACATCGAGATAATCGCTACTGTGTATAGCGGTTAGGAGCGAAATGGAGACGTATAAAAGTATCATTTTGTTTGAGATCCAATTAGATAGGCTTGAATGAAATTCACTAGATATAGTCCTGTAGAATCACAATTTGGTGCTTAAAACCTCTGAAGAACACACTTACGTACGCGCCCTTTAAACTTTCAGAGTAATTTCTTGAGACTGGACATGAAGTTTCCATAACAATATCTTCACGTCTGATATTTGACTTCTAAGTCCTATAGGACAATACTTTTCAGTGTGATTAACATCAAGATTGCTTGATGCTGCTTTGCGGTACAAATAACCTAGCACATATGTAGGAAACGTTTTACTTACTTGGATATTATATCACTTTATTAACTAAGAGACTGTTTAGAATAACAATTTACACTATTCGTGGCAAACTTGCTTGCTAAATATACTGACTATAAAAGCACATCAATGAATGCCCCTATTTCTGTTGACGGAAAACTTTTAGGTTGGCATCCTATGTCACATAATGCGATATATCTTAATGTAATAAACAGAGATGATAAAGTAGAACGACTCACTTTACCGAAAATTACGTTCTACACGCAAAAAAATCGAAATTGAATGTGAAGCTGAATAACGCGTATCTCTATGTTTTTGATTCACTCAATCTTAGGTCATAAACTGTTTGCCTTCAAACCAAAGTATATATAGTCTAGTCATACTAACTACTTATATGATAAAGACACTTAGGAACAATCGTTGAACCGCGATTGGATGAGCATAAAGTACGGAGAAACTTATGCGATAATTTTAGAATTTATCCAAAAGAGATTTAACTACTACTGACTTGTCAGAGAGGAATAATTACTATCGCGCATTAGCGACAGTAGCGTAAACTTCATAATAAGTAAATCCACCCAACATTGAGTCAAAATTCAGCGCAAAATACGAAACATCGAATAATCAGTATTAATCATATCGGTTTCAGTATCTGTATTGATAAGTTTCTCTCTTGTTTGAATTAGTTAGGATTCCTAGTAGTTGAAGAGTTCATATGGAGACGTGAGAATTAGTTAGCTGCCGCTTGAAATTCAAGGGATAAGATCCGATGGTTGTTCTGTTCTAAGGCAGTCCAAGCAATGAGGTAAACGAGGTCTTGCTAACCAGTCTCAATATTTGATCACAGAGTGGTCGATGTCTGATCTTTGGAGACTTTAATGCACATATGATAGACCGGAAAAATCAGAGAACTGAATTTTCAGAAAATCCCTCCAAGCAGGAACTAGTTGATGTAGTTATCCCATGCGCCCTAATACATGTGAAAAAAACGGATAGGTAGGACCCAAACTGTGAACCATCTTTACAAGATCTTATATTAACCCACTGTGAGGGTGACGTAACAAACCTCGATTATATACCACCCCTAGGTAAAAGTCATCATGCAGTTCTAATCTTTGACTTCCGTATTGTGGTCAAGACGAGTAAACGTCAGCTCAACCCATACCTAACGTCTAGAAAGCGAATATACAGGATATACGACACTCAGCATCGTCAGTAGACTGAACAGTATAGTCAGAGTGCTCAATTGAAAGAGCTGTGGATACATTCCGAAATTTATGCTTAAACGTTACTGCGCACCACATCCCTTGGACTACATCAAAAAGGTCGCAAAACTCTCCAACACAGTGAGTTTCTCACCCTCCTCTGCAAGAGGAGAAGAATGTGGGAAATATTTAGGCTACTCGGGAGAGATGAGACAAAATCTCAGTATTGAGAAGCTCGGAATACTTGTGCCTCGACTCTACACAACTCCTAAAGGTTGTACGAAGAGAAAATTGTTAAGAAATCTACAAAATTTCCTAAACGCTCGTATTCGTATATAAACTGAGAGACTAAGGGAAGAGAAAATATTCCAGCACTATGGGGATACAGTCATGCTTCATCATTTGTAGAGGACGACTATGGTAAACCTCAAGTATTTTCGAACTACTTTAGCAACATATTTGCCACAGAAACACCCCTCCAGTCTGTTCACACAAATCCCCTCACACAAACTGGTTACCAATAAAGAACTCTATGTCTTTGGCCTTCTAAATAAGCTTGACGTGGGCGAGTCCACGTGACCCGATAAACTGCAGTCTAGGTTACTAAAAGAAATAGCTAACTTCTTTGCGAACCCTTTAAGCATATGCTTTAATCTGTCAGTAATCCGGAGTTTTTTGTCGAAAGCCTAGAAGAACGCTACATTAAGTTTTGTCTTCAAAGCAGGTACGAAACATTAAACTGAGAATTACCAACCCGTTAGCCTAACTAGTGTGGTTGTTTAAATTTTAGAAAAGATAAATCTGAAGTAACTGTTTAAGTATCTTGATGAAAATCGGATCCTTCCAGAAAAACATCATGGTTTTAAAATAAGTTATTCCTGTCTCACTAACTTATTAGTGGCTCGTGAAAGCTGGTGCGCTCTTAAGAACCAAAAGTTACTTGTGGACTTAGCCAACATTGACTTCAGCGAAGCTTTTGACAAAGTTCTGCACAACCGGCCGTTATATAAGTTAAGAAATGTCGGGGTTGGTGGCAACCTATTGATGTGGATAAAAGACTTCCTAGTTGGGTGACAACAAAGAGTGCAGGTGAACTCAAAGTTATCTAGCTGGGGATTTGTGCTTAGTGGAGTGCCCCAGGGTACAGTTTTGGGGCCAGTGCTATTCCTCTTGTATGTAAATGACCTTCCTCGTCTCCTATCATCATCGGTTTTGCTATATGCTGACGATGTCAAGATATGGAGAATAATACGATGTTAGGGTGATAGCTCAGAACTCCAAAATGACCTGGAAAAATTATCTGAATGGTCTAAAACCTGGCAGTTGCTGATGAATACTTCCAGGTTGATTGTCATGCATATTGACCATCAAGGTACATATACATACATGATGAATAACACTGAGCTACTTGTTGTCCAGACACACAATGGAAATGACCTTCAGTCATGCTGACGCTAAAACGTTTTTGACTTTGTGTACAGTATTAGTACGTCCAAAACTCGAGTAATGAGTACAAACGGCTAGCCCCTACTTAAACAAAGACAGTGAGCTTTTGAAAAAGTCTCAGAGAACAGCAACCAAGCTGGTCTCTGGAATGTTGAAGCTCTTGTATGATGCCCGAACGGCTAATTTAAATATATTCCTGCCGTCATATCAAAGAACTAGAGGTGACCTGATTACACTTTTCAAATTACATAGTGATAAGTTTGCACCAGATATGCCTTCATTTTTTGTCTTCCAAAACAGGGAATCCAAAAGGTCACTCCAAAATGTTCACAAGCTTAGAACAAATTACTTGTTAGCCAACTTTCCACTTTCCAACAGAATCATCAACTAGTGGAATTCATTAACTGAACTCGTGATTGGAGCTCCATTTGTCGACTCTTTCAAAAGAATGTTGGATCGACCAAAGCCATCATTGTCGGGACTAACAAAGGCCATCAAGCCTCTTGTCCTTTCCAAACTGAAACTGAAATGACGTGATCCTGATTCAATAAACTTCTGAGTTTTATTTAAGATGAATAGCTAGACAACAAGGACATTTAACCAAATACCGATTCGAAAATCATGTCCGGATGTACACGAATTCAATTTAAAATCGTTTTATTCACTGGAAGACCTGTTTGGAAATATTGTCTCTAATATAAGTAGCTTCTTCAGTCTTCATAAATACTCATTACATTATTTATTTTGTTTGACACACCAATGGTTGAGGGCGCTCGTCTGAAAATGGACATTCGCATGTGTCTAATACATAACGTGAAGAACGTCTATATATCAGACGTAGTAGTTTCCTGAAATATATAATTCAGATGTACTCTGATATTTTATCGTCTTCGACTTCATAAGGTTATTGACTTTAATGTCATTGAAGTGGAAAGTATTCGGACAGCAGAGCTGTTGGATTATGACTGGTTATTATCTCTTCAGACTCTCCAAATAATTAAAATGTTTGAGACGTACTTTGATAAAGAACTTGTGAAATTTTAGTTACCACGATGTGATTCTCAATAAAACAACTGCCGCGTGTTCAAGAAAAGTACTACTCCTAAACTCTTATTATCTTGGCTATCGTAGCAGCATCTGAAAGACAAATAAGTTTCTTAACAGTCAGGCCGCACAAAGGTATTCTAGATTATCCTTAATATACGTTTCATCGCTGTCTGTAAAAAATCGAAATATCACCCAACCAACCAGAGTTTCCTTGTGACAAGTAAGACGCCGCAGTCATTCCTTTTTACAAGACAAGATCAAGGCAGTACTCAACAGATTACAGACTGCTTGACCTTATGAGTGTTGCTGTCGGAAGCAAATATCTTAAGTATTATTACGAATTTGTCATAAATTAATATTTTATCATTTATTTGGAGGCATAAACATTGGTACTAGGAGGCACCAAATATATGCACGTCACACTTCGTCATAAGATTCGTGCGATGGTATGAATACTGCTCAGGCGCCCAAACTGAAGTAGGTTTTTCACCTAGGATAGATCTGTTAGTAATGAAAGAGAACCTAACAGTCACTCGATAATGAGGCACAAGCAGATATTATCAACATTGATGTTAGTAAGGCCCTTGAAAATATTGCTCACAATGGGCTTTTATTAAAGCGGAAGACGTTGTAGAATTATGGTCTACTTCGTTATTAGTACTGCTCTAATAATAGACCTAATCGTAAAGTTGTAGATTGTCATGATGTAACTGCCTAATCTATAAGATTTTACGTGGAAGTCACATAGTCGTCTACACGAACTCAGTGCATCGTAACCATCACCAATATATGATGGAGAACAAGCTTAGGCTAGAGATAGAACAATATGTTTAATATGGATAAGAGGGATCATGCCTGCAAGGTTGAGCCATACTATCCTACCAATTCTAATTGGTTGGATACTTTATCCCGCCTTCTCCATCGTTGTGTTTTTCTCCACGTCAAATGCTGAATATCTATATTTTCAGCAGTCTCGGGTTCAGCTTTGAGGATTGTGTGGTTGGGGTCTAACGACATCACGGACGCATCCGACTCGGCGATTGGAGAAGTCCATAAACAATGGGTTAACTTCTCCTGGCAACCTCTGGCATTTTTATCTAGACGGTTGCTAGACACCGAATCCAGGTATAGCACTCTCGGTAGGGAACTCCTAGCTATGTATAGTGCTATACGTCATTCTCAACACTTTATCGAAGGCCGAGGATTCACCATTTTCACTGATCATAAACCTCTTACCTTCTCTTTAAGCTCATCTTCAGACAAGTACTCACCATGTGATTCCCGACAACTAGACTACGTTTCAAAGTTTACTTCAGATACTCAACACATTTCTGGAGCAAACAATGAAGTCGCAGACGCCTTGTCTCGAATAACTTCCTTAAACAGTTTCCAAGTAATCGATTTTCTTAAACTCGCCCAGTTGCTTGAAGAAGACACTGATCTTCAGTACGAGTTATCATCAACAACCCTCAAGCTGCGCATTAAACAGATGGAAACAGGTAAGGAAACCTTACTTTGTGACACATCTACAGGTAGGGATCTCCCAATTGTGCCGAAACATCACCGGCACAACGTCTTCAATACGTTGCACAAAATTCCTCATCAAGGTGTTCGTGCAACCGTCAAGCTTATAACAGAACGGCTTTGCTAACCTGGTATGAATAAAGATGTGAGAGAGTGGGCATGTTCCTGCGTAAGCTGCCAGAAATCTAAGGTTACTAGACACAACAAATGTCCCTTAGGTTCGTCTAAAACTCCCGATGCTCAACTCGACCATGTTTATCTGGATTTGGTAGGACCTTTACCAGATTCAAATGGATGCTCTTACCTCTTAACCTGCGTAGACCGTCTCACTCGATGACTAGAAGCAGTACTTATCAAGGACATCACTGCTGAAACAGTGGCTCGCGTCTTCGTCGAACGATGGGTAGCAAACTTCGGCTACCCTTCAACTATCACTACAAATCGCGGAC